AAGTATTGCTTTTCAGAGTATTTAAAATATGATTTATATATATATAAATTTTTATGAAAATAAGTTTAAGTTGTAAGTCATAAAAAAATTTTTGATGATCAATAATTTAATATTTGTTATGTAAAAATAAATAAAGTTTAACAAGGTTTAAAGCAATTTGAAATTATTTTTTAATTAAATAAGAAGAAATAAAATAGTATAAGTTAAAGAGTTGTTTGTAGTTTATTTTATAAAAAAGTATCTAAATAAATTTGGTAAACCAGTTTTTTGTTGTACAAAAAAGAATTTTGAAGAGTATTTTGATTGCTTTAATAATGTATAGGTTTTTGTTTAGAATTATGTTTGTAATAAATTTAGGTTTTTTGTTTATTATAGTTTAGATTAATAAGCTAAAATTGCTTTTTACATCTAGTTTGTTGATTATTGTAAAATTAATAATTGAACTAAGATAAAAATCTTTGAGAATTAGTTTTAAAAAATCTAATGTCTGAATTCCAGATATTATAAGTATAAATAAAGAAGAGTTTTCTGAAATATGATAGCTTTTGAATTAGTTTAAAAAGCAATCTTGTTGAGTTGTAATTTGTAGATTTATTTTAGAATAATAAGTGATAATAATAATAAAAAAATATTTAAAATTATAAATAGTTTAAAACCAAAATATAAGCAAGATTTTTTAAATAGTTTATAGTATAAATAGAGTATTTTATAATATAAGTAGTAAAAAAAAGCAAATAAAAAAAATATGAATTAAGCAAAAAAATTAAGGTTTTCAAAGTTGGCAATAAATTTTCCAGAGAGCCAGTAAATTTTTCAGGTTTCTTTGAAAAAATTTAAAAAATGTTGGGTATTTAGATATTTTTAAGATTAATAAAAAGTAAAATTTTTGAGAAATCTTGTAAATTTTTTAAAATTGACTAATAGAATTTCAAAAGTGAGTTTAGATAGTAGTTTGAAAAAAAATATTGATAATTAAATAAGGTTTGGTCTATTAAAGATAAAATATATATTAAAATGATCATTTCAGTAAGCTGAATATTTTTGTTTAATGAGAAAAATAAGTTTGCTTAGTAAAATTCAGTAGAAATTGTAAAAATGTGTTTTTTTAAAAAATATTAGTTTGTATAGAATATAATAGTTAAATTTTGGTAAAATTAGTATAGTTAAAAGCAGAAAGTTTAGTGTACTTAGTTTACTTAAAAGTAAAAAAGTTTAATTAAATATAAATTGAAAAAAGTTAAAAAGAATATAAATAAATAATTTTATTAAAATGTGAGAATTTGTTTATCAAAAGATTAAATATGAATAAATTTTATTATTTTTAGAACAGAAAGTTGTAAAAAAAAGGTTTAATTAGAAGTTTAAAAACTATTAGTTTAGTAAAATATTGAAAAAAGTTAAATTGTTTGTTAGAGAAAAGTGAGTTTAGTGATCTACAGAGAAAGTTAAATGATTGGTTATTTCTAATATTGTTTATTTAAAGTTTGATAAGATATATAAAAATATATAATTTTTATACTTAACAGATCTTCTAAGCAATTTAGTTTATTTAGTTCTAGATGTTTATAAAGTGCATCATTAAAAAGATAATTGGCCAGCTTACAAAAAAATCAATATATATTGTTAGAATAATCTTTTTCTTTTAATTTGATTAAAAGGATTATAAACATACTTTTTTAATTTTTTTTTAATATTTTTTATTAGATAAAGACTAGTTATTCAATAATTAAAATATTTACTAATTATTTCTTTTTATTAAGTAATTGGTTTGTAAAACTTTTTTACAGTATTGTTTAAAGATGTATCTCTAAGTTTTTTACAACTAAACAGTTGCTATTAAAAACATGTTTTATTTTTTAATATAAGCAAAATAACAAGTTTTATCAAAATTTTATAAATTTTGTAAAATATTTGTATAACTAAAGCAATTGAATGTGCTTTCTAAGAAATATATTAAATTACTTTTAAACTAATTTACAAAGATATATTAAACATAAAATAAGTATCCTTGATTAGTAAATTTTTATCTAAGAATAATGACATATATAAATTAATTTTTTTAAATTACAAAGTAACTAATTATTATTTTTTAAAAAGCTTTGTTACCTTCAAAAAACCCAATACTACCATCTTATATAATTATATGTATTGCAATAGCAATTTATCTAATAGCAGTATTTTGATTTGCAGTCATAGCTATTATAGTTTTTGCTTAAAAAATAGTTAGTTTAAATGTCTTATATATCTTAATTATTTTAAAGATAAAATTAAAAAGAATATAAAAATACTTCTAAAAGTTTGTTAAAAAAAACAAAATTAAAAAAAAATCTAGCAATAAGAATAGAAAAGATGCTAAAACAGTTAACTAAAATAATTTAGAAGTAGTAGTAGATAATATTGCAATAATAAAAAGTTATTTGAAATTAATAAAAGAATTATTTTTTGTATTGTAAATTTTATTAAATATTATAAATTATTTTTTTTGCTTACTATTTTTATAATAAATTAATCAATTATATAAATTATATAAATTATATAATGTATATATAGGGGGTGTGGTAACCTAGTAAAGTGGTCAGATTGTCAACCTTTCAAGTGGTAGGTTGGATGTTCAAATTCTATTGACAGCAAAAATTTGGATAATCACCTATATAATATTTGTATTATAGCAACTATTACTAATAATTGGGTTAGGATACTTGTAATGATGATCACACCAGTATAACTAGCAGATAATAGAGCATCTGTGCAATGTTGGAGTTATACAAAGAAATGCAAACTGACAAATTGGGTAGTGCAAACAGTAGGCAACACTATATATATAGTGTTGCCTACTTACTCTAGATTGTTACCTACTTATGAGTATATATTGTTACCTTCTTATAGGTATATTGTTACCTACTTGTTTTATAGCTACTCATTTTGATCTCTATTAAGCTTGCATTGTCAGAGTCTAGGTTATTCCTACTCATGTATGATGATGGAAATATGACATCTTCGTCATATGATGATAGGGACATATATGCATTATCATTTGAATAACAATTGGTTTACAAGTTCGTCGTTATTCGAGTGATAATAAATCTTGCCAAAATTTTGTTAAACAAAAAATGACTAATATGCTAACAATGTATTCAGTCACATGTCATTATTTGTAAGCCCGATGTGAGGGCTATGCCCGAACTGGGTACATAGTGCCCTAGCTTTCTGGTTAATTCCTCGATGAGGGCCAGAGTTGAGGCTCGTAGTGCTGAAATAGTATTCATATCCTAGCTTTGTATAATGCACTCAAATATTGCTTGAGGATAAGGCATGTAGTGCAGAATAGTTATTCTTACCTGGTGGCCCACAAAAGCATAATTTTATTTTATATATATATCTGTAATAATTTTATCTTTGTGGGCCACTTTTTTTATTCGAAATAATACTTATATAATGCACTTGGTTATTAATCAAGAATGAGGCACTATGTGCCAAATTGTTATCCTTATCTGGTGGCCTATTAAAGTACAATTTTATTTTATATATATTTGTAATAATTATTCCTTTGTGGGCCACTTTTTTTTACTTGAAATATTACTCAAACTGAAAAATTTTTGGTGGCCAATATTTTTCGGCATAAGTTGTCTCTACTAGTACTACTTAAAGCATACCACTTATTCTAAACTGTACCCTGATTGAAATTATATAACACAAAAATGGTTATTGAGAAAGCTAAGCTTCGAGTCTCTGACTCATACATACCTTAATCTATATACTGAAAGCACTTACCAAAATTTCATTTTGATCTGGCAGGCAGGTATGCAAATTGAATGACAGTGACTACTACCATGACCTAAAAACCTCTTTTGTCATCTAAATCTTATTATCCAAAATCATATGACACAAAAACCCCTTTATATAATCCAGGTATCAGAATATTAATTTTTTATTTGAATTTTTTCTTATGCTTATTGTAAAAGTGACATAAATCTCTTTACCCAAATATATAACTAGCTGAATGTAGCAATCTCTCTACTTCAAAAATTACTACTTAACTAGATTGTATTTTCTTGAACAACAGTTATGCATATTCAATAAGGGCCAAAAAGTGGGTTTTTAATTCTTTTTTGTATAAAGTAGTAGAAACCTTCATTTTAGTCTTGAAATTTTGCTTATATTTTAGAAAAGTGCTCTTGTCCATACTCTCATGTTCTTTTTTCTCTCAAGTTTGAAAAAAAGTGATACTCCCAGGGTATAATTAACTAAAATATTCAAGTTAAATTCTAATATTATAAAGATGCAAAATTATAATGAGATTGATACTAAAGCCTTTACCTATGCCAAAAGACGTAAAAGACAATGCTTGGCTAAAGTTAAATTAAACTCTAATATTTATTTATAGGTTTGTAAAAATCAGCATCGATAGGAAGCATCCTATAGAAATATGAAACGAAATTATAGGTGGTGCAATAGTTGTCTTCATATATTTAAAAGATCATATCGATATATATTTGAAGAATTATAACATAAAAAATTCCCATCTCGAAAACCTAAATTTTTAGAAGGCTTACAACTTGATAGATATAATGAGAAATTATATTTGGCCTTCAAATACAGTGGCAATTAGCATTATCAAATCATTCCTTTTTTCCATCCACAAAGACAAATTAATTTAGATACACAAATTCAATGTGATTGGAAGAAAAGAGCACTCTGTTTTAAGAAAAGTATAATTCTTATCACAATTCCTTATTGTGTTGTTGATCTGCCAACTTTCATCAAAAGTGCCTTGAATGCATTCAGTTTTCTTCCAATACCCACCTAGGAGGTAAATGCATATCCTTTACAATTTGAAGTTCTTCTCTCACGAATGGGCATCTTGGACTGTTACGTAGCTTGTAAAGAACTGGCTGGTTATTTTTCCTTGAAAATGATTCAATCGAAAAAATTTCAGGAGACCAGTTACAATTAGTAGCTCTCCTTCTCCAGCCTTCTAGTTCACCAGGTTCTAATAGATGCTAAACTTTAACATCAGATGATAGGAAGAGTTCATCATAACCTATAGGCCTTTTGTGCTTGACAACTGGATCTGCAAAGATTTTCTCACCTTTTAATGATTTTTTTACAGCTTTATTGAGTGATATGTGTATTAACTTCATAGGGAAATCATTATATTTTTCATCGTTAATGTGAAGGCTGACAACCCACTTCCTAGATCTATCAGTCAATAGTAAATGCAAGTCCATAGCATTTTGGCAAAAAAAGGCATGCTTTTCAAATTCTTGGTGATCTCACTCGGTGATAGCCACACTTTGTTTAGATTTAGCATACTGAATTCTCATGTCATGTCTAAGAAATAAATCCCTACACTCAGCCATATATTTGGTTCCTTTATCTGCAATTAAAACTTTTGGCCAGCTAAGTGAGCAATTTGGATCATCATAAATTTTCTGAATCTCTTTAGCCATTTGCGTAGCTGTTTTATTAGTTAAAGTGAAACTGTGCCAATATCTAGTTGCAATATTCTTTATCACTTCTCAGTATTTATAAGTTTGATTGCCAACTTTATTGTAAGGCATAGGTGTAGTATCAGACTGGTGTACTTTATTCAATATTCGTATATTGTTAAAAGAAGATATTGGATAAATTTTGGCTAAGGTTTATGGATCTGATATAAGGCCTGTTTGTTAAGCCAATTTTTTATTATAGCCAAAGTGAACTCATATCCTGCCTTCTTACAAGCATTTTGCATTTTTTCAGCTGTCTGATAATAACCTTCAGGCCTTTAATAAATTTTTTGCAAAGTAATCTTCTTATCCAAATCATAGGCTCTTTGTGGGTCAATATAAATTACAGGTTTCTCCATTCCTTTGTTTTATTATAGTAATAAAAAACATGAAGGAGTTACAACAATCTAACCAAGAACTCTATGAGGTAGTATCGCAATTAGCAGAATCAAATAGAAATTTTGAACAATGTCTATATACCTTAGAAAGAATTATTGGTATACAGAAAGAAAGAATAAGATTTTTTGAAGAAGAGTTAAATAACACAACCGAAGTTTCTATAGAAGAGAAAGAGGAGTTAAAAAAAGAAATCTCAAAACTAAAAAGAATTGTTCATCAACTTGAAGAAGAAAATAAAAAGAAAGACAAGGAAATTTCAGATAAGGATAGATTAATATTAGAATTTGATAAGCATGAAACAAAATTAAAAACCAGAATACGAGAAATATCTAAATCTGCTAGTAATACTCCAAAAGCACAAGATTATACAACCAGATTAGTGGATAAGAATGAACAGCTTAAACGAAAAATAAATATGGTAAAAACTAATCAAATAAATAGAATCAACAAAATAACCCAGCAAAAAAATCATATTACTGACCTTCTTTGTCAGAATTTTGCTTTAGCATTATTAAGATATCAAAATAGATTAGAACTTACAAATACACAAGAGGCTTTACAAAATGTACAGGCATAGAATTTTAATGAAGATGAATCTGATTCCTATTCTGATGAAAATTCTTTAGACTTATATAATTTTGATTTAGACATGGCTACAATAGCAGAGTTAGCCAATGCTATAGACCTATTCCTAGCTGATACAACAATATGTAAAACCATTTTAACAAATCAAATTAAAAGAGCAACAAGGTCAATTCGACGTAAATATACTAACTTGTAACAAGACCTAGTGAATGTGCAATATGATTATAATATATACAGGCAGAAGTGTAATCAAGCAGTGCTAGAGCATGATCAGTTATGAACTAATGCTCAAAACCAAGTAAACAGAATGATAAATAATATAGCAAGAAAGCAGACCCATATTGGTGAGTTGCTAGAAGAAAAGCTAGCCCTTCAGCTAATATATCAAAGGTGCAAAGCTAAGGCTAACTTGTCAGAATTCAAATGTGCCTAGGTATTTAATCAGTATCAAAAATGGAAGGCTCGAAAAATTAATTCTCACCAGAATATTTTAAATTTAAATTAACAAATTTTTGCACTACAGAATAATCCATACAATATAGCAAAAGCAAGATGTTTACCTACATTGAAATATGTATCTACCTTGTTAAATCCAATTCCACAATATATAGGTCAAAGGCCACCTAGTGATTATTGTGATATGATTATACAGGCATGGGCATCTGTTATACCAAATATGATAGCTCTTGAAAATACAAATGCTAGAGATTTTGATGATGCTGTCAAAGTCAAAATTATGAAAGGTAAAATGGCAGAAAAATATGTATCAGTACTACCTCAAAATAATTTTGTAAATCCAGCAGTTAATATTAATAGTCCAGATACTTTAAAAGCATGATTAAATGCAATATATCAATGAAAAACAGTTGGAACTAGCCAATCAGCTATTTTAAGATTATCTCAAGAAAGATTTCAACCTTTTGATAATCCTGATACTTATGAAACCTGAATTCGTCTACTATTATTAAGTATAGCAAATGATGATGCACAAGTATTAGAAACTCTTAAAACTTATTTATCAGGTGATCGAGAACTTTATAGTTGGATGAGAAATGAAAATATAGCAGGTATTAATAAATTTTTCATTTTATTAAAAAATCTATGGCTTGAACATTCTAGTTTATATGTAGATCAAAACTCTGATCAAGCACAACCAAAGAAAAAATCATTAGCAAAGCAGAATGACAATATTATATTACAATTTATAGTTTTACAACCAGTATTTCCCTCATATAATGAAATGCAAAAATTGTTTCAAGCTATGTTAGAAAAACAGAAGGCTGAATTCAAGGCCGAGATTAAAAAATTAAAAACTGAATTCGAATCAAAAATGAGCTAGCAATCCAAAAAATCTCACCTTTTAGTGCCACCCAAAGATTATAAACAAATACATGAATTTTATGCAGATCAGGAAAATCCTAGATGGTAAATCTTTCTAGAGAGGAAGCACTACAATGGTTAGATAAAGCTTTTCCTTTACTCATAGCAAGTAAATCAGAACGATTACATTCATCAAATCAAAATGCCAGAATAGATAGAATAGAGTCGAAAGTAGATGAAATCGGTCAAATAACATCTCAATTCAGGAGGATGATGCTTGATAACAAAAAACCTGTAGCTAAATAAAATTCAACATATCGATACTTTCCTCCTCTAATACTTTTCCAATCCCAATATGCATCTTCTGATTCAGATGATAATGAGGATGAAGAAGGTAGATATAACAAGGAAGAGAATAAATGGCATGCTCCATCTCAGTCAGAAAAAAAAAACAGGTACTGGTAAATGAAAAAATGCTTCCAGAACTTAGTCAGCCTAAAATGTACAATGAACTATTACCAAAGCTTTCATCAGCAATGCGTAAAATGTGTCAGTCTCATATAGTCTAGAAAAAAGAATCAAAATCAGATGAATGGTTTTTATCATTGCAATACTTGCATTGTAATATAAATAATTTATTAATCACTAATTCCTTTTTAGATAGCGCGAGTGAATTCAGAGAAGTAAATGATGCAACAATTAATGCCCTAGAGTGAAAAGCTGATAAGCCTTCTAACTTTGCTATAAAGGGTAATTCCAAACATATATTCGAATCATTAGAATAGTATACAGATGTACCAATTAGTGTAAAGAACAAAAATGATAAGATTGTTACAGCTACTGGAAATTTTGCTTGTATTAATAATGGTAAACCTGAACCAATATTATGTTTAGGTATGACATGGATTCGAAAAGTTCAAGGTATTCTTGATCCAAATAAAAATCAATTTCGAATGAAGTTACATAGAAAGACTTACACTATCTCAACTTTTAGCAAGACTACAGAGGTTAACGAACCAGAGCAACAAGTTTCAAATATGTATGATAGTGAGAATTTAAAAAAAAATATAACTTACTTGAAAAGTAACTCATAAAAACTGAAGAGTGGCTTAATATGGCTCTAAATGCAGGTAGAGTTCTTGCAAAAAGATGCTCTCAGCTTACTAAGACAAAGATGGGCATATAGGAGCTAATCTTTCAGTATCTTTCATTAATTTTTTAAGATCTGCTTTTCTTCTAGATGTATTAAACAAAGTTTGTGCACACTATGGTTCTTTGAACCTATCTATAGAAGAGGTATTTTTTTCTATTGCAGAGCTATCACTCTTTGAGCCTACTATATGTGAATCTGATGAAACTTTCCTTTTTTAGCTAATCTTTTTTGTCGATGTTTCCTTAGCTAGAATCTTCTTAGTTTGAGATTTATCTAACATGAGACTTTCATTTGAATCAGGTAGTAATAAGAAATCATTTTGATTATCAAGACCTTGTTGGAAATATTCATTATGTTTCTATATCTTATATATATAATGGGCACCAATATGAAATTTTTCAGTCATTTTTTTTAATGCATTTGGAATTTTTTCTCTCAAATCTCTAATCTTCTTAATATCAGACTCTGATAATTGGGTCACATTAGATTGATAGAAGGTTTGATAAAGAGGATTGACCATTTTTAAGTTAGAATATATTATAGAAAAAAAAGTATTAATATTTTTTAAAACATATTGATGTTACTATAATGTTAATATATATCGATAAGTATTGTTTCTTTTTTAATAAGCATCTAATATATATCAATAAGTATTGTTTCTTTTTAGTAGGCATCGATATGTATTGTTTCTTTTTGGTAGGTATTGAAACATATTAATAAATTTCATATATAAAGGTACCAGTATCTATTGATTTTCTTGTATAAGTATTGATTTTTTAATGATTTATATTTATATTTACTTAGCTGAAGTATGCTCCGAATTTATACTTTATCAAATATAGATGAATGTCGAAAACTCAGGAGTATACTACCTAATCAATATCCATCTAGCTAAACAGAACTTAAAAACCAGCTTGTTTGTGCAAATCAAGATCGAGAAATTGTTATAAAGTGTGGCAATTGACTTTTTAATAAATGCTCTGTTTTGGATAAAGACAATACGCGTATACAATGTAATCTAAAACAATCCAATAAAGATAAAGAGAAACTCTCCAAGCATGCTTTTCAGCTTATAGATAAGGTTAAATAATTGCACTCAGAGTTAGATAATCTAATATCCCAAATTATTCGCAAAGATATTTCTCTTAAAGAATCTAAGATTAAGATAAAAGATCTCCTGTCTAAGATAAAAATATTGGAAACAAAACTATCTTCAACTCAGAATAAATCAAAGAAAATTACAGCACTTCGGTCTATAGAAAAAATACTAGAAAGTAAGTTAGAATCAGCTCAAAAGGATGCATTCTCAACTCAGAAAGAGATAGTAAAAAAAGAATCTAAGATCATATCTCTTAAGTTTGAATTAATCAATATAAAGAATGAACTAATGAATACAAAGGATGAATTAGCTTTAAAAATTAATGAAATTGAGTGTTTAGGCACTTTACGTTCTGCTTCGCAGAAAACAAAGGATATATTGGATCCTGTAATTAGAGGAGATACAGAAAACAATATGCAGAGTGAGAAACAAAGTTTCATATCGAATTCTGAAGACACATTGGAGGAATCAGAGATTCGAGACTATGCCTCATTTAAAAGTCTTGCAAAATATTTTAAAAATAAAAATGAGCTAGTAATAAAAGAAAATAAAACATTACCAATTATCACAAATAAGCAGAATCTGGAGTCATTGATTCAAGATATTATAATAGAAGGGGCAGTATGTGCTGGCAAGGCTTTAGTTAATAATAAGTATCAAATTCCTCCTATTATTAAAATTGTTATTATTACAATAATAGTGATATTAATTATTTGGTATATATACAGTAATATTTTTTATCAAACCCCGTCTTCTTGTTTTTTGAACTTAAAGCCAGATTATACTCATTATATGACTGCCTCTGGCAATTTGTTTTCTGGAATATATAAACCAACTATAAACAAACAAAGTAAAGTGAATTATCAGAAAAAAGAAATTTTTTATCCAATTTATAAAAATCATAGTTATGGATTCCCAATCCATTATACAAAAAAACTAAAAGAAAGAACTTCCACCTATGAAACTATTCCTTATGGATATAGACAAAGCTAATAAACATGTTGCATTTCATTGTCAATCTCATTTAGCTAGTCCAACATGGCCCTTTAGAATGATAGTTACAGAAAAAAGTAGATCAGGTAAGACTAATATCTTAACAAATCTTTTTCTTGGTAATAAAACTGAATATATATATAAAGGAAAAAAGGTGGTAGGTGATATATTTCTTGTAATAATTTAATAGTTTGTGGTTATCATCCTGATAAGCCAAAATAGGCATTTGTTAGATATATGTATGGCATAATTTCAAAAAACCCGAAAGCACCTTACTATAAAAATATACGATTTAGCTATATATCACCAGAAAAAATCCCTAGTGTAAAAGCAGTTTTACCTAAATGAAGTATAGCAATTGTTTTTAAGGATTTGTGTCTTGCTTCAGAACATATACAGAATCGAATTGGCCAATTTTTTGGAAATGAGTGACATCAAAATATTTTATATATATTTGTGGTACAGAAATATTATAAAATCACTACATTTATATGTAAAAATGCTAATTACTTAGTATTTTTTAATTCTGGTAGTTTATATGAAGATGTTTCTAAATTATTTGTAGATATAGAGATGATGTAAAAAATGCATCAATAGTTATTAACAGCTACTTATGCAAAGGCAAATTTATTGTATTTGATCTAGATAGGCCTGAGGATGATTCACTTGCAATTTGGCTAAGGTTTAATACTTCACTAGATTTGCAAAAAGAGATGGAGTTATGGCAAAAGCACAAGATAAAAAACATATTACCTGCTAAACCTATTTCATAGATTTTTATTTCACATTGGTATTTTCTATTCCAGAAATTTCATAATATATTTCTCAATTGTGATCTCAAGAATAGCATTATTGCAAAACAATGAGGCTCTGCCTCTATGAAAACGGTGGACAACTAACTATCTATGTCTTCAAGAGTATAAGTAGAACTAGCACAGCCAAAAAATATTATATAAATAATATAGGTATTTTGTACTTGCAAGGAATTAATAAATCGAATAAATACCTGTGTACTATGCTTCTATTTCTAAAAGTCGTTTTTTGAATCTAACCCACAATTGACTCTTTTTAGAATCTATCTAATTATATGGAATATAATATTCTTCATATTTTCTAATATAAATATCCAAAGGAATATTTAAATTACATTGTTTATACATTGTAATCCATTTAGTACACCATTGATCAAATTGTTCTCGAATCTGAGGATTTTTTACTTTATGTCTCATTAAACCTAGAAGTTTTTCATCATCTAGGTTACCATTATTTGGTAAACTGTTCCAAGCAAGTTGTGCATTTGATAGTTTCCTTTCTCTAAAATTTTTCCAAAGTCTTTGTATAACCCTTGCACATCTAAACTCAGTTCGTGGTCTTGAGCATCTATAACCAGTTTGTGGTCTTGAGCATTCATAGTTATAATGATCTTTTATTAAATCAAATTGACTTGCTTTCGAACCTAAATTAACATTGACATGCATAAGTTTCATACAATGAAAACATATTGCAGTACTATCTTTATATGGTTTATTTCTGCTATAATTATATTTATCAAAATTCACACCTTGAACATGTGAAGCATGAAGGCAATACTAATGAAATGTAGAACATAGACCTCCTGGACCTATTAACTCTTGAAGAGTAATTCTAACATGACAACCTCACTGAATAGGCATTTCTCCTTCAAAGATCATACTAATGAAATCATAAGGCCTTTCAGCATCGATAACTCTATTAAGAACATTATGTCTATCAGTTCTTGCAATCCTTTCATTTATATCATATTCTGCTCTTGACATATTTAATGATTATATAAGATTTAAGTATATTTAAAGGTATTTTGACCTATTAGATTTGGTACAATATGATTAAAACCAGATTCATTTTTAGAATGAATTGGGTTATTAGATGAGTTGTATATATTTGTCATATTTTGTGACTGATATATAAATAAGAATAGAAGAGATGCATATTGGGTTGTAGTGAGAATTGTAAACCCAAAAAGTGTGAAAATTTTCACTTGCACCATTCTTGTATTCAAATTGTATCTCATATAAAAAATTAAGAAATAAGATTAAAATTATATTTTATATGGTCTAATTGAATCACCTAATTGATTATTTTTGCAGACTGAACGAACTATCTAAGTCAAAGTACTAAGCCACTAGCAATGATGATTATGCCCTTTTGAATACACAACACACATAGTCAGAAGCCCTATCATCAAGAGGTGAAGACTCAAGTGAAATTTTTTGCATAACTATATATATTCGTAACAAGTAATCTGAGCAGTCGATCTATCAATGCAATGGAATCTGGTGCAAGAAAATAAAACTATTATTTACCTAATTCATCTGCATTTCATAAAATTTTCAGATTAGATTGTAAATAATAATATCGTAAATTTTGAGATGGATACATTCAAACTATTTCTTATCTTGTAGTTCGGTGGACTAATCATGAGAAGCTTGTTCAGTCTTCCTCTTCTTACAACAAAACAATTATAGTTGACGATTGCAACCTCTAAAATTGGGTTTTAAAGGCTTGGAATAATATGTAATTCAGATTAGAAATAGTAAACTTATATTAGAGATTGTTATAGAAGCTATATGTAATAAAAAATAAATGCATTCTAAAAAATATATCAATAATAAAATGCAGATATATTGAAAATCCTCTATAAATCATTGTAATCGAACTAGAACAATTAAGAATATGCAAATACTTGCAAAAAAAGTGAGGGTTTTTGTATTTCAAATGAGTATATTAATAGACAAAATCTTCTTAAATAGCAGTGTAAAAAAGGACATAAATAGAAGGCTTCACCTAAAGATATTATTAAGAAATGTTAGTGCAGACAGTGCCGATGTCTTAATATTGATATAGCAATTAATATTGCACAAGAACAGGGTGGTAAATGTCTTTCTACAGAATATAAAAATTCAAACACACCAATGCTTTGGCATTGCATCAAAGGACATAAATGGTATGCCCCTCTTACATAAATAAAAGATAAAAAAAGATGGTGTGCACAATGTGCTGGTATCAAACCTTGTGGTTTTGAAGCTTGTCAGAAAATTGCATACAGTAAAGGCAGTGTATGTCTTTCTACTGAATATAAAAATCTTAATGTTTTAATGCAATGGAAATATGATAAAGATCATAAATGGTTTGCAAGTTTTAATGATATAAAGCATGCCAGATCATGGTGTCTATATTGCTTAAACAAACACGAAAATCTATGCTGTGACATTATAACAAATATTCTTGGCCCACTCTCTGGTATTTACCGACCAGATTTCTTGAAAACACTGGAATATCCTCAAGGATTAGAGCTTGATATTTACTATCCACAACATAGGTTAGCTATAGAGGTACAAGATATACAACACAGGCAATATAGAAAATGCTTCTACAAAAATAAGAAAGACTTTGAGAAACAATTGATCCATGATCAACTTAAGAAAGAACTTTGTAAAGAAAATTAGATTGTCTTAAGGTATATTTGGTATTACAAAGACCTATATATAGTTATTCCAGAGCATCTTCGAGAATTGGATCTTATTAAGTAAACTTAAAACTTTATTTGTTGTTATGACTACACCCAAGAAGACTATTCTATAAAGAATAAATTGCATATTTTTTGTGAACCAGACAATTACCTTTATCTAAGTACTAGGCTACCTAAGGTAATTATGAGCCTATTGAGTTTCACAACATGCATAATCAGAGGCCCTATCGCTCAATATTAGAGATGAAATTTTTTGCTTAACTAAGTATACCTGTACGAATAGCTCCAGCAACTGTCTTATCGACACAAAACAATCTAGTGTAAGAAGGTAGAATATCGGTAAAAAATTTCAGATAGAAAGCAGAAAAAAAAGATTTTATATACATATTTATTTGAGCCTTATGCACGTAGTGCTTAAGGAATGTTTCAAGTTGATTATTGTTACGTGGCTTGTTATATTTAGTGTTGTATTAATAGCCTCGATTATCCTAATGATATGTTTATTTTTAAGGAGCTGATTACCTGATAAGCTATAAATATTTGTACATTCAGGCCATAGGACACTGTCGAATTTTCGATGTTCTATACAGTATTAGATATCGGATATTTGATCAACATATGATTACATCATATATGCAGAAGTTCCAAATCTACCTTTCTTTATATAGTTTTGGACGTAATACCAATTCGAGTTAACTGCTCTGTAGATGTAGTGAAGATATGATGAAAGTGCAATGCAGGTGTGATGTAGGTGCGATGTAGTCACGGTAAACTTTTTTTATATATAATTGTATAAGAAATAAGTGTATCTCAGTTGGCATCGCAACTGCCAACTTATGATGGAGTGTGCTGAAAAATTAAATTATATGCTTGCATGATAGATCAACTTTAATAACAATAGTGATAAATTTTATGCAGTGTGCATAATAATAGCCTTTTTTAGATGGTATGTTTATTTAACAAGCCCTTAATATTTATGTAACAATAATTTAGAGCTGTTGAATTTTTGATATTCTATGATAAATAATAAATGTTTAATCAACGTATAATTTATAATAAATATTCGAAATTGTTACTATAACAGATGTCATAAAATAGCAAAAATATATTGTAAACATATACAAATTTAGAACAAGGGCTGTGGATACGTATTCATAGAATAGGTGGCTTTAAAGAAATGCCAAATATATATGCATACTATTTTAACATATTCACGTATGATATTTGAAATTACAAAAAAAATCGAACTAAAGATTGGTGATTCACACTGACATAGTCACGTTGAAAAAATATATGTTATACTTAATGGTTTCACAGGCTGCAAAGGTTATCTATATCAATATGACAGATTTTTCTGGGTTGTGGTACATACCAGTTTTCTTACAAAAAGGATACAGAAAGAAATAATCTATCATTACCAGCCTAGTTTATGGCCTTTTAACATTAAGAATCATTGTAAAAAATTTTTTAATATTAGTGTTAGTAAGATATAATGACAAGTTATATGAAATTAGGTATAAGGTTTTGTGATACTCTCCTGCAGAATCATTTCTCACAGTTAATTTTTGATTATAATGATATGAATATTATCTAGAACCCTTATATGGTCCCGCGATAAGAAAAGTACAAATAAGGGTTAAAAATATTATAATGGAAAGTAGCTTATTGTTCTTTATCAGAACCTTTATTAAATTTCATATGTCATGGGAGACATGAAATTTCCCAGATCATCGAGATTGTTGACTTTTTCACTTCGTAGCATAGTAGCGATCATCGAATCTAAGAGGATTAATTTATCTAAAAACTGTAGAATAGATCTAGTATTTAGAACTTATGCCCAAAACGGAGTTGCTTTGTTAAGTATGGTCTGGCTTGTGTTAGGGTAACGCAATTACTAATCATATAACTTTTTTTCTAGCAAGTTTTTTAGATCTAGCAAATAAACAGTATAAAAATAAGCAGATTTCTCTCATAAGGTGAGTTAAGCAATAATGTTATTTTTTTGCTCATATTTTTTTTTACTTGACTTACTTGCCTGTAATTTATTTTTTAAGTAATTTGCTATTTCATTTGATGGAGACTATGAAAACAAATTTTTGCTTACTTTGTTTTTTGTATTTAGGTATGAAAAATGAGCAGTAACAAAAAAACCACCACCTCTAAGAACAAGAAAAATAAGACCCTCAACTATTCTAAATCAAAATGACAATACAAGCCGAAAGAATTTTTATCTTGTAAATAAACTTTGTGCCATGTCAGTACATTCATGCTGAAATATAATTATTAGAATTAAGTTTTTTATTTTACCAAAAATTAGATGATAAGACCTGAAGAAAAATGTCAAAAGAAAATCTAGAACATGATAGAGACAATAATGATAATGATTGGTTAAATCCTGGTTAGCAGGAGGAAATGTTAAATCAAATATAAATCCCACCAACCTAACCTGTTAAGGGTATTTTTTATTATATAATAAATATATATATATTTTATTTGTATATTGTTGTTCCAGCAACAATGTTTTATTAAATAAAGAGAGAGTTCTATGGGCTCGCTATTTTTTTTAACTGATCGTGTGAATGGGCTCTACTTATTAACCTATGCTTTTACTGTTACTATTGGGATTGAATTCTGATATTTATTTATATAACAATAGAGATGATATGTTTTTGTATTAATATAATCACTACTCCTCTATAAACCCTCTATATTATTTCTTATATATTTTTTTTATAGTCTTTATTGCATATAAGACAGAGTACAGATCTATTAAAAACAAAATAATTACTATATTTAAAACTATATTTCAAAGTTAAATAAGGAAATCATTCTAATACTATTTTAATAACATGTTTTTGTTTCTCTTTCAGGTCTTTAGGTAGAATAGAAATTGGTAATCAAGGTTTGGATGATCCAGATTGAACATTTACTTGTGTTACAAATAAAGTCTTTTTCTTAAAAAATATTTGTGTAAATTGAGCATGGATTTTTTCCTATTCTTTCATAAGATCATCAAGTCATGCAGTACTTAAACCACTTTTTAGTATACCTTGACGTAATAACTCTTTACCAACCAGCCTATTACGATCTGTTAAAAATTTACGATATTTTCTAGGATCTTCTTTTCTTTCTATTGCACCACGATAGAAATGTATATCTCTTTCCAAAACCCTATGAAAACATCCCATAGCCCACCTATTTTTCTCAGCCTCTGTAATGATTGAAAATTCTTTGGTATTTATTTCATGTTTAATAGCATACTGATGAAGACGATTTTTGTTTGAATCAGTCTTGAAAATTGAGAAGGTGCAAATTTTGTTTGGCATCATTACCAACGAACTGTCTTGTATGATATGATTATCAGCATTTTTGCTTTGTATAGATTTAGAAGTTTCAGACTTTATCCAAGGATCGAGTCCAGTCTCTTTCATATATGCTTTATATAATCTAGAATGAATTTTATTTATTTGAGAACTTAGTAAATCAACTAAGTTAGCATGTCATTTGCAATAGTCATCAGTTAATATCTTGCTAGAGGTAATATCAGAAGACATGTTATCATTTTATATTAATGCAAGTCAATTCAAAATCACATAGTTATCAAAAAAAAAAATATCGCTATCTACTTGACTAAATTTATATAATTATTTATTTACACAGTTATTTCAATTTCTTGTTGTCCACATTTAATAAAATAAGATCCAGCTTCATATCTACCTCTTATACTTTTCTCATCCTTATGACTCAACTTGCATGCTGGACATAATGACTTGTCAATAATTCTATAATAATCGAATTTTTCACTACTAAATTCTCTATGTATATCAGAATATTGGCCTAATATTTTATTATGAAAATAAATATAATTATGAGTCGGATTAGATGAAGATATAGATAATGCACTTACTTAAGTTTCTAATGAAGACTTTGCTGATATTTCAGCTTTTGGTAAATTGTTCAGATCTGAAGGGATAGGAGTTATGATGAATTTACTTACTTCAGAATTATTCTGATTGTGACATTTTGTCACAGTTTTTGATGCCATCTGATTTATGATATGTTGAATTTAAGTATCTTTCAATCCCAAAATAGTACTTGCACTATAGGTAATATAATTGATTTTATCTATACCTACTCCTCCTTTACCAAATAACTTAAGAATTTTTCAAGCTCTTTCAGTTTTCTTATACAAATTTACATCTGTAATATTAAGTAGAAAAGGTTTCATTTCCTTATATATTTTTGATCTTGTCGTTTTATCTTTAATCTTACCATCTGCTGTAAGGCTTTAATCTTATTTTTGAATTTTAAAGAATAATAATATCAACATAAAATTTGGTTCTGACCTGATTTAATTGCTTTATCAAATAAGTCTGATAAACTTTGTACAAAGTCTGGAATCATATCCTGTATACAAGACTTATTCAAAGATATAGAGTTGATTTCGAGAGAAACAATATTTTGTGTTTGATTACAGGTCATTTCTTGTATTAAACCTTCTACGATTTGATTGTCAGATTTGGATATTTCAATATAGATAATATCAGAATTGTCAAGCATATAATTTTGATCATGACATTTTATTGTGGTTTTTACATCACATGATTGAGGTATCATCTTTTCAGATTTCATTTGATTAACTAAAGATAAGTCTTGTTCTCGAAACTTTTTTTCCTTTATGCTCTGAATTATCTCTTTACTAACCTTTTCCTTATACTTTGAATCCAGAAATTCATCGATCTTCTTATCTTCTAATGATGTGGGTTCAGCTTTTAGCTGGCTTAGGTTGATGCTGACACTATATTTCTTATCAGAGAGATCTTTGATAGGCAGTGAATTGGAGGATATCCCTATAGTGCTCCTTTGAACCTCAAGGGTTACTGGTGATTCTAAACAAGCTGAGGACTGCAAAATATCTTCAATAAGAGATGCATCCTGTTCATTAGTATTAACTCAGGTTTGTAGTTTGATTTCCTCGATGTCATGTCTTAATTTCACTACTTCAGCTTTAAGTTTAGCATTTTCAGCTTTACGCTTGAAATTCTCAGTCTCAAGATTTTTCTTTTATGATTTGCCTAAGCTTCGCATTTTCAGCCTCAAGCTCAGCAATGCAGGTTTTCAACAAATCTAATTTGGAATGCATGTTCGATAATATTTTTATAAGATATATATTTGTTCAAAACTTATTTAATAAAATCACTTTTACCAAGAAATATTTTTGTTTCAAAGAGGCGCACTTTTGCCAAGAAAATTCTCGATCATATGCGAGTAATGTACATTGATAACAATATAATAAATTCACGAAATACATATGCAAAAGTAAACTGATTATGTATGCGAGATCGACCCACCAGGGGTCAGCTTTATTACTTTTTATATAATTGCAAATGCGTACTACATTTCTTTGCAGAATAAAAAATTAATTTGGTTTTGCTATCTAACTTAAGGACAAATACAACTAATTTATTCTCATTCTGATATTGTTCCTAATTTCTATATTATAACTATTGCGAAACCTATAATCGAGCAGAGGTCGTTAGTAATATGAAATGCAAAAAAATCAACCAAAGAAATATTCATAATGGAACGCACCATTATTTCCTCAACGTCAGTAACATGCTTCGTATTATTATTCCACCAACATGCAATCATCCTAATTTTTGTAAAGTCGAGGTCGTGCCAAATGTGTACGACTCGAAAGCCCTTCTGCAGTTGAGATTTGGTTGGCCAGTAAGGTTCTGATATGGCGTTTTCTTCACATGTGAAATGAATGACCCACATTTCATCTGCAGGTAATTTCTTGTCGTATAGGAATGCCTGTTCATAGTGTTCCTTAAGCTCTTCAATTGTTGCTGTAGCTAAAAGTTCAAAAGCAATTGTTGGATGACCAGGTTGTGATATAACTATATCGATATATTTATTATTATTACGCCCACTAGCACGATATTTTAGGTGCCATTGTCCCGTTACTGTAAATTCACCAAGCCAATTCGATATGATGCGGTAAAGCTCCACATCATACACTGATTCTCTGGGAACTTTTTCATTTTTGGCATTGTTTACTAACACACGAGCAATCTTGAAAGAATAGAGTGATTTTATAATTTCTTTGTCAAATACACGGACTGTCTGCTTTAAAACATTAAATGTGTCCAGAGTACGTGGAGAAGAATGGTAGGGGACTTCCGTTTGAGGTGAAGTCGGAAACAGGCGGGGAATTATTCGCTGAAGGATCAGCCAGCGTACCAATGGCGAGGAAACCTCGAACGTCCCAGAAACATTGCCAGGAATCAGAACTCCTTCAGCTGTAAGGAACAAAGCCAAATCCCTTTGTTTTTCAGCGACGTATATAGGGCCGAAACTCGCCAGAAAATCGGATCGGAAAACTCACAGCACGCTTAGTATCAGGATCATCTATTAGAAGGGCATCCTTCATTCTTATAAACGTCTGGTATTCGATTATCTCATCCCCCAGCGACATCATGCTAAAACGTTCCCACATGTCAATGCCAATATGTAATTTTCCATTTACTTTTTCTAGTTTTGAATATAGTTTTCTAAAGATCGCACGTCCGCAAAGGCAGACAAGGCCAGCATGTCTGTTGAAAAAAAAGATAGTAGCAAGAAAATTGAGACTTAATAAAAATAATCTTATGTAATTCCAGTCACTTACCCGTTTGTTTGTGTATATATGTCTTCGATTACCTCCTGGTCAATAGTTAACTTGTATTCGTCCACGAATTCTTTGTATAGGAATTCCACTTGTTCCATAGTGAAGTTTGGGTTCCGAAACGGTTCATTAACGTTAAAAGGCGATACCGTAAAATCATTCTTTAAATACAGGATACTAAAAGGTCCGATGGCAAAGACAGACTTAATAGCATAGCTATCTTTTGTTATTTTAATGCCACGAAGGGTACTTAGACACGAAGAGCGAACATCGTCTGTCGCAAAGTATAACCTATCAAACTCGTCGATAAGGAGAACAACAGAATTTTCCCACCTATCTTTTTTAAACGCTAGATCGAAATCATTAGCAGAATTAATGCTGTCGAGCCCAATTTGTTTGGGAACGTTAATATGAAGATGAGTGCCAAATGTATGCCAGAATTTGTCTACATTTTGGATGTTAACTTGTTCAAGAGACACACTGATCCAGATAAAAAAAAAGACAGTAGAAATAGAGGCGATAGTTAGATTGCATACAATGGACCAGTTGGTTTGAATGATAGTCGGAACTTACTAAATGCAAGCAAAGCCTTTGCTATTCAATTGGTCCTGAAGTTGGAGCATCCGTGTAGACTTGCCAGAGGCTCGTGGCCCATGTAGCGCTACGAATTCACCCCGATATATCGATTCAAGAAGCGGGATATTCTGTTCTGTCGGATCCACAAAGTAGACGATAGGACGCTCTTCTCTCGTAATAGCACTATTTACCATCCATTTTCTTTTCTTCGGTGCTGTAATCACAACTGATCAAACAAAAAATTAGTAAGAATGAGCACGGCACAAAGCAAAGCAAACTCTGTATAATCTTACGTTCTTCCTCTGCCTTTCTTTTTTTCTTAAGTTCTAGTATTAGCGAGGCCCAAGTTAATAAATGAAATTATTGCGGAGAAAGCAGTATAGGTTTGGAATATGAGTCAGAGACTCGACACTTTGTGTCTTCGAATGCAGTCGTGGTACTACTTACCCTGTCCTTCTCCTTTAATTTCATCGACTAAATCCGCTATGATTTCAGCCGGCCCACCAGGAAGATTGTAAGGGTGAGCTAGAAGCTTTTCTGTAGTTAGCTTCAGGAAAGCGCGACCGGAGACCTCATTTTTTTCGATTTGTTCGATGTACTTGTCATTAAGTTCAAGGTCCAACTCTTCTTTTTTTTCTCGAATAAATTTAATAATATCAGCTGTTTTCCATTTTTTTTGAACCTCATCGACTGATGGAGAATCCTTAGACATGTTAGTAGGAAGTAGGGATATCCTTATGTCCAGAAAATTCCGAGCTGCCGGCCAAAATAATATGGGTCGTAGTATCTCAAAAATTCACTATATATCTAACCTTAACAAGTGTGTTCTATAAGTAAAATTTCATTCTGAAAACTTTTACTTAGAGGTCGGAAGTTAGTTATCATAGTAAATTTTTTGTGTTATTTCAATTTCTTATGTTTTTCGCGGTTGTTTTGTTACACAAGATCCTGTGATTTTATTGGATCCGGATAGGGTCGGAAGTGATCTTCAGCCCGGGATTTTCTGGACATAAGGGTACCCAGGAAGTAGTCGTACATTCACCTTTTATAGTTTATACAGAAAATCATATTGTCGTACAAAGATCACGCATGCAGATTTCCGAATTTTTTCATCACCGTAACTAATTACTATAACAATACTCTTATATTTTACTTGAAATTTCGATTACGTAATGAATATCTTTGTTACATGGACAAACTATTGTTATACGGAAAATCAGACAATGTCACGGTAAGATTTTACAAATTCCGCTTAAACTATCGTTATTGTTATCAAATTGATAATTAGGATTTAATTATTCGAGGGTATATAGATGACTCGAAGCTTTGCTTCTTTCCTTAGAAATTATCACATTCACATCGCTTATATATGCCATTCGCTACTTTTTTACAGGTCTTACAATATAGGTGTGAATGATGATCGCATTCGTCACAAACCTTACACCCGTGCTTCCACCCTCTAAAGATATGCCACTTTTCGAAGCAATTTTGTTTATCTTTACGTATGAGTATGCTATTCTGACCTTTCATTGTTATATATTGACA